TTTTACGCCAATTTTTTTTAATATATTTATCACCTTTTTAACAGAAAATGCAATGAATGTCTTTTATTAATTTATATAATAAAAGAAACCACACGTTACCATCTTTCAAAAACAACCCAATTAAAACTGTTTAATTTTAAGAAAACCATAATGCAACAAAAGTAACAAACAAAACATGTCCAAGTGGTATCGTCTAATTAACAACATACTACCCAAAGATAATATCCCCAACCTCAACGGTCCACACTTCTAAGTTGCCTATACCAAGCCAATGACACAAAGTACTAGAAACAAGTGTCAACCCCTGCTGAGTGAGTTTATAAAATTTGCATATAGTCGTAAGGAAATGTACAATTCCCAAATGAGTCATCAATTCAATTTACGACAAAAAAACATTGAGCACCACTTACTCATATATACAACACATAACAACAAATTCATCAGATATCCCCAAGAGCATAACACACCACTAAAAACAGCACATATCACCAAAAACATTACATATAACCAAAAGCAACACATATCACCAAAAGCAATAATTAATAGGGGAAGATCCGAGATTTATAGGATAGTTTGTTATCTTATCTTTGAATAAAAAGACAAGTTGATCATATCACACACACGTCCACTTACACTCTTACTTACTCTCTAGAAGCACTTGAACACTATAATCACCTCATTCACGATTAACTTGCACTTTTAATTTCACTATTTTTAATTAAACTTCTAAGGCAATGTGACATTGTTACCTCATAAGGTTTTATGTCAGAGATCCTATATAATTATAGCCTTTCTTCGTATATCTTTTTGTTCTTGCACCCATTTTTATTTATACATTATTGTTTGATTTATTTCAACACTTCTATGCATTTTTCTCGACATTTATTTACTTGTCCACATCTTTATTACTTGATAATAAAATTAAGATGCTCTTTGAAATCTTGATCTTTTTAAACATCTTAAAACCTTTTTTTTTAACATTCTTCATTGATTAACAATCTTACCACTATCCTTTTCCCATATTTTGAGCATATACACATTCATATTTTTCATTAAATCAATATTTCAAACATAGATTTATCTGTAATCTAAAATATAATTAAGATTTTGGATAAATTTTACAAATTGAATTAACACAATCCTCATCAACATTTCAGTTTACTTATCAAGATCTTGACCAAATTCAAGATCTTAGACACCTTTTAATAAGCAAGTTACAATTTTTTTCCTAAAATATTCATACAAAAAATCACACTACACTTACTAATTTCATTACAAAGTTATGAAAGTGATTTTTAACCAAAAAAAATTATATGAATTTTTTATTACTGTAAAAATCGTCGTTGCTTAATGTATATTCTTGAGAGCCAAATTTACATTTATTCACTACCGTTGAATATTGGATTGACCTAACCTCTAGATGTCACTTCATAAATCAGCGTTCTCATGTCAATTTTGAAAATAATTGTGACTATATATCCTTTACCTAAGATATATGTTGCCTTTTTAGTGAGTGAATCATTAGGTTTTGAAGTAGTTACAAGTTTTTCTGAATAAGGATGTTATAAAAGCCGCTATTAGATATAGTGTGAACTAAATGATGAACATACATAGTGAAGACAATATATTGTAACATCCATTTTCAGGTATACTTATTTTTGAGTTAAATTGTTTAAATATTAAATTTTGAGAATTTTTGGTGACCATGGTCTGGTAATGGAGGATCACCACGATGCGGCCACGACATTAAAATGGATGTGCATTCTCGATTGACTATGGTGTGGCGAAGCAATGCCCACCATGTGAGCTTCAAAACCCTAGACATCGGGATTGGATCCCTATTTAAAGGCTCTAACTTTTCAGGTTTCCTCATTTAGAAGCCTCCACCCTCTTAAAAACCCTCCCTCCCAAACCCTAGCCACTATATGCGTATTCTGAGTGTTTGAGATTCTTTTGTGAAGGTTGAAGGAAGAAGAAGTCTCTCTTGTTGGTTGATTACTTGGTTCCAACATAGATCCACCATTGTCATCATACTTTTGACCATTTGGAGGTATAAATCTTCTACCGTGTTCATTATTTCATTATATAGAGTTAATGGAGAATAGTGTCCATAGCCGTAACATACTAATAATATTACTAAAACTAGCAGTGTCCGTTTGGGTTACACTCAAAAACAAAATAAAGCATATTTGAAAAGATATTTATATCGCGGACTTGTTTTGTTAATTAATTAATAGTTTAATTAATTAATAGAAAATAAAGGAATTTGGAATATTCCAGAATGATTTGAAAACTGAAGATAATTATAATTATATTTGGTAATTATCTTTAGGGTTTCAAATCACATCTCTATATAAAGAGGGGTTAAAACTCGATTTTGGTACTTGAAATACCCTTCAGTCACCAAAAGTTGGAACCCTAACAAAACCCTTGTTTTCTCTAAAACCCTGTTCCCATGTCATGGTCGCTCACTTACCACGTCTTGGATCGCCGCAGAATAATCTGATCGATTCAGGTAGTTGTTGGTGTTCGAGGAAGTTCAGATCTCTGAAGTTTTTTTTCGTGGGTGCGATCACATGAGAAGAACTCTATGTTGGGTTTTCGAGTTCAATCAATTGTCTAGAACAAAGAAATCAAAAAAGACCACTAAGGTATGATTACTTATTTTTATGTCCTATTAGTTTCATAGATTTGTTTGAGTAAAATCTGCATGTTTCGAGCCTATAGATCAGAAATTTTTTGCTTTCGTTGAAAATCGACTTTCGGGTCATTCTACCACTTTGCCACATCGTGGCTGTCCTCCACCACGTCGTGGTACATACGGATGCCGAATCTTGATCGCGACTGCCTCATCGCTACGTCGTGGTCCCTACATGGATACGTCGTGCTAAGCTGTTGAAAATTAAAGATAATATTTTAAGAATTGTCTCATTATTCTAGTGTCCCACAACGTGGTTTCCCATTCCCGACGTCGTGGAACTTGATCTTCCAGAATTATAAAATCCGTTTCTTGTTTTCGGTTGCTTCGATTTTAAAACATATACTAACTAGCCTTTATACTAAAAGATAAAGTCAAATTGATTTAATTATAAGATTAATTAAAAGACAAGAGATTAGTACTTTAATAATTTAATTTTTGACTTACATCTTATTGTTTATTCAATAGAATTAAAAGACATATAAAATTCCAAACGTGTGTGTATGTATATACATACACACACACACACACACACACACACATATATATATATATATATATATATATATATATATATATATAGATATATAGTAAAATTGTATATATATATATATATATATATATATATATATATATGTATCACACTAAAATACAAACATTGCGTCCTCGCGTGTTTCTTAAATGTGCATTGTTAGTCTTTCCTCAACTAAGCTCGTCTACTTTCTTGCTATCAGAAAGGTTTAGGTAGGTCTATTTAATTATTAATGAGGTTGGCTTTTAAGTGGCATTTATTGCTCGCCATGAAGAATTGAGAAAATCAGTAATCTTCGACTTGAAGAATCCAAGTGTTGAAAATACTGAAACAGAGTTTCAGAATCGTCAAGTGGAAAGTTATGTAGAAAGTGGATAGTTGTGAATCAAGAAAGTTAATGACAAAATGTTTTTTTATGCCTAAGATCAACGATTCAAATGTGTCTCATATTCATCAGAATTCAGTTACAAGTGTTTGAATGTAAAACAAACTAAAACTCTCAAGTGGCTCTCTGAAAACTAGTCTAAACAGCAAAATGTGCAGAATAAGCCAGAAGCAGGAATTGGGAAACTTTATAATGGAGCCCAATGGGCCTATTTATAGGCTTTAGAAAAGCCCATGACATGGCTTGACCAATCAGGTGTTGACACGTTATCATGACTTAGTCATCATTTGACACCTTTTCCCTACTTAACGTATAATGGATGGAATATTCCAATTCCGTTAGGGTTCCATCCAATTTTTGAGTCTTCATTTCTCTCGATCCTTCTTGATCAACATTGAAAGTATGATAAGCATCATGAGAATCATGTTGCTCCATTGTCTTCTAAAATGTAATCAACTTCCAGAAGTGTCATTGATCAAGTTGAGTTGTTTCTTCAATGTTAGAATGTGTATTGAAGTTGAAGATATATAAGCACGTATTCATGACGGACCATGAATGAAATGCAAGTGTCATTGAGAACTTGGGCGTGCCATCATTGTACATGATGTGCCATGTGTAATCTTTTTGAGCCATCAATGTATCATGTTGATCCATTCACTTGAGATGAGCCACCAAGTATTCATGTTGATCCATCAACGTCTTGTTGAGCCATAGAGGTGTGGATGAGCCTATAATGTTTCTGATGAGCCATCAATATTCCAGATGATCCACCAATATCTTGATGGTCCACATATGATCTAGATGTGCCATCTGAGATCATGATGGTTCAACTTTCTTTCAACAAGTGCTCCATGTAAGCTGCAAGTGCTCCATGTTCAACAAGTGCTCCATGTCAACTTCAAATGCTCCATGTCTACTTCAAGTGCCCCAACATCTGATTGTTCAAACACTTGTTGAATCTTCAGGATCTTTCCAACATGAAACATTCTGATAATGTTTGTTAGAGAGATATAGACATAGACTCAACTTATTTCAAGTGACAATCACATACAAATATTTTCCAACAGTTTCCTCATATGTGATGGTTACTGAAATAAGGAGTAATAATAAAAGCAATAACATGCACACTGAAATTAATAAAATGAATTACTAGTAGCAAAAAGAAAACATCATTCACAAGTTTTTTTTTTAAAAAAACACACAACCTAAACTTTGTTCCTTAAGTTTAGTAACCACTGTCGAAAACTTAGAAACCAAGTGAGTTTTTGAATTATCTTCACCCTCAATGTATTATCTTGGTATCCTGCTCTCCTCAACAAACCAATGACACCTTGAATAAATTCTGAAGAGAATAGATGTTTCTGAGAGATTCTCATAAATCTCAATCAACCCTTAGATGAAAATACAACTCCTATATGTGGTTTTTTCAGTATGTTTCTAGGTAACTCAATTTCCACATTCAGATCCAAATCTGGCTCATTAGCTTCCTTTTCTCCAGTTTGTCCTATTTCCCAGTCAACACTGAAATCAACAATCATATCCAAAACATATTCCCTCAAGCGTTCTATGGCATCTGTATAAGCTTGATTAGTACTTGCCCTCTGCTTCAACCAAATAATCAACGATATTACATCAACTTGATTTCTCCTAAGGAAATCGGCTTCAGAAAACATAAATTCAGAGTTGTCTATCCTTTTTCCTTGAATGAATGCATATGGCATCTTTTGAAATTCTTGGATGGCAATTTTACTAATTGAAGAAATTTTGAACTTTGACGATACAATGACAGCTTGCATCGGTTTCTTTAAGAAGAATATTTTGTTCACCTTTTCAATGTGTATACCATACTTAACTGGATATAGTTCACTTGGCCATAGATTGAACTTTGTACCATTCGGGGGTTCAGGAATATCTCAGTTTTATTTAGAGAGATCAGAAGGAGGTGTGAAGGAATTTGCAGGCTTGACGACCTTAATCTTATCATACGAATATATATCAGGATTGAAGAAGATGGTCCTCTTAAGAGATGGTGCTTAGAATTGTTTATCATACCATGTGTTTCTTTCTTCAGGAGAGATCTCTGAAGATCTCTTTCCAAGAAGCACCTCTTGATTAGCCTTTAATTGCTCAGCCTGAAGTTCCTTTGCTAATTCTTCATTCACCTCTTGTTGAGCTTCTTTGGCTACCTCCTTCTTTGATTTGAAGACAAACTTTTGTTTTCCTCTATCATTTGGATCGATTTGGGGAACCTTTGTTTGGACGATTGGTTCTGATATAGTGATAGGTTTGGTGAAGGAAACATTTTTCTTTCTTGGCAACTTTAGCGTTGGATCCTTGATCATTTCTTTCGAATGAGTTCCTTTTCAGTTTCTACCATCCGTGCTCCGTTTTATTGAGCTTTTATTCTTGATTCAGCAATCATTTTGTCAATTGACTCTAACTTTTCATTTCTCCTTTTCTCAAACTCATTTGGTGAATCTGGAATCTGATGAATGATAGGAGAATGACTTGATATAGAGTTGTCTACCTTTTCCCCTTCTGGTTCTGGTGGCCTGTCATTTGAACCAGATAATTTTTCCAGGATCAAGTCTAGCTTGGAGTCAGACGAGGCAACGTTTTGTTGAAGCGCACATATATCAGAAGAAGGAGATTGCGTCTTGATATCCTTGACTTTACTGACTAGTAGTTAAACAATTTTCTGAAGAGAAGAGATGTCACCCGAGTATTCATGGACCTTTTGAGAATTGAATTTAGAGAGATTTGCAATTTCAGAGTGCAATGAATCCGTTTGACGTTGAACTTGCTCACTAAATGATTGAAATGGAGTAGTTGAGGATGATTTTGAAGCTTTAGCAAGTTCTGCAACTGAATTTTAAGGAGTGGCAATATACCGGTCTTGAGCATCGATAATACTCTGCAGATAATCTATTTTAGCTTCATAGACGGAGTCTAGATTTGATAAAGACTGAAGAAAATCATTGATCTTCTAATACACCGGAGAGAGATGATCTTTCATGGTCTTTTGAATTTTCAGATCTACAGTTTCGATCCGCCGCATGTTACGAACAATTTGTCCCTTGATATATGAAGTCGTGCCATGGAAGTCTTCAATGGTGACTGACAGTTTTTTCACATGTGCGTCTGTTGTCTTATTAAGGATACTCACATTGTCAGCCATACGTTCAAGATACCATTGAAATTTGTCCAAATATTCAAACGAGAGGATGTATGGAAGCGGATTTCCTCAGTACCGTCAGCTACCATCTGGATAGTTAGTCTAATACGTTCAGGCTCAGGTTCGGATGTATTTGCTGTTGGATTAGGTGTCTAAGCCCATAACTATAATTGGTATGTACTTGACCCGAGAGCAGCATGGTCCATTTCGGGTTGCCTTCATCAGAACAATTTGATAGGATGGATATTTGAGAAAGAGGTTATTTGTGATTTATTAATATATTATAAAAATAATATATTAATTGACAAATCATATTATTTAATTAGTATTTATCAAGACATAATTTGGAATTAGTTTAGTGATCAAAAGAGACTAATTAAATTTACAGGGACTAATTATGTAAATTAGTGATATTTATAGTTTGGGCTAATGATCCATGTTGATTAGGAATGGACTAAATCTTTGTGAGAGTCCATGAAGAGTTAGTCAATAAGCTAATAAGTTATTGGATTAAAAGCCCAAGTGATATAGGGTTTACAAGTTGAAACCCTAGGAATTTCAAACTATAAATAAAGCCCCTAGCTTGCTAAAATCGGCACTAAGACTCCTAAGGTTAAACCCTAGCCGATTTTGAGCTTTCTAACCTCTCTCTCATCATCCTCCACTTGTTCATGGTGTTTGTGACTTGTTTGAGGAATCACACCTGAGGTTATAAGCTCTTAAAGGCCACGTTCTACAAGCTACAAAAAAGAGGTAATCTTCCAACTAGTTTTATGTTGTATATCTTCATTTGTATGCTAGTTATAAGTTTTATGCTTTGGATGATTTTGTTGCATGTATAATTAGAGAAAACTTAGATCCAAGGCATTAGGGTTGTATGTGCACAATAGGATGTTATAGTACATAAAACCCAACAGTGGTATCAGAGCCATGAGTGTTTTCTATTATATTGATGCAATTGTGTTAATTTTCAAAGCTGAACAATTTCAATTTTTTCTATCTGAATGCTGGACTCGACGATTCCCATGAGTGGACTTTCCGAGTTGGTTCATCTGGGGATGAAATCGTCGAGTCCATGCCCTGACTCGAAGAGTTGGGCAGTCTGTTGGTAGAATTTTTCGAGTTTTTGGTCTGTTTTGGATTAGGATTATTACCACAAACTGTTTTGGTTCATAAAATTTGATTTTATTGACATGGTAATGATTATCCCCATCCAATAACATGATAATTGCCAAATTTTAAGATAATTACTTGATTTTGTGTAAAACTAATTATTTGTAAAATTTGAATCATTTTGCTAAGAGAGTTGAATTAGATCAATTTAGTAAAAGATAAAATGATATGATTATTTTATTAGTTTAATGTTTGATCTAAATAGTTCTTGAAGAGTTTTATAACTTGTCCTCAAGTTATGGAACTTGAAAAGTCTTATTCGTGAAACAAATTAACTCCTTAAGTTATGGAATTCAAGAGTCTTGAAAGGTTACAAAACTTGTCACCAAGTTTAGGAATCTAAAAGGTTCTGAAAAGTTTCAAAATTTTCCCTCAAGTTTTGGAATTTAAATTTGATTAAAAGTTTTAATTGTGAAATATTAAATTCTAAATCTTTTGGCTTCATAACTTAAATTTAGACTTAAAAGTTTATTTATGGCTTTGTTGATAATTAATTAAAAGATTAATTAAAAGAGTATTAATAAATCCATAATTATATTGTTTGACTTTAATTAAATTAAAAGTTTAGTTTAATTAATAGATTAAACCACCTACTATATTAAATGTATAAAATACACCCTTATACTATATAACATTAAAAGTCTAATATATTATATATATAAGTTAAAAAAGTCAGTCTTGCCATTAGTAGGCCTCATTCACGAAGCTGATCTATAAGGGGTGTTTAAGGAAGTGGCCTGTAAAATGACCACCATTGGGTATCCATTCTTACCCACCGCACCCTTGACCAGTGGAGGGTCGTTACCCGAACGGGTTTCACAGGACATTTAAATCCTCATTAAAAGTATAATGAAATATAAAGTAACTAAACCTTTTATAAATCCCCAATCTTAGTTACTTTAGGAAAAATGTGAATTTGGTGCTAATCCATGAAATTCCACATTGCACCTTATTGGTCGATTAGTGGAGCATGTGTGGTTAACCGACACACTAATGTGGACTAATGAAGGATGGAAATGGGTTTCTCATAAATTATCATTGATCAATGGAGTGTTCGTGGTTCATCGACACATTGATTAGGTGGTTAATAACATCGAGAGTACCAAGCTAATTTGCATGGTTATTCACACCTTGTTTGTGATCCTCGGTATCCCAGTCACAAACTTGAAGGGCATAATCGAGATTAAACGTGCCATTGAAAAGTTCAATGAATCTCAAAAGAATATAGGAATTTCAATTCATCTAAAACCTAATATTCATTTTCGTTTTTCATGGTGGAAATTGGTAAATCGTCATTTACCTACCTTCAAATATTTGGCAATTGGATTACGGCATCACTCTTCCGAATTGCAGAATATTGTGTTGGGTCCTAGCCTTAATATTTCATTTTGGGTGTTATATTAAGGACTTAAATCAACTAACTTGAATTTCTCCCTTGTAGATGTCTAGTTCTGACAAATATGGTCTACCTTATCCTTTTGGAAAAGGCTTTCCTTATAAAGATGATATTCCACAAGACGATCGAGGAGAAAGATTAATCCCTTCTTCGTGCTGTAGTGGAACTTCTCTTCCTCTACCTTCTCCAATTATTCTCCCTGGCCCACATGTTTGTCGACTTGAAAAGTTCAAGGTCACTCAGGCCCTATTGGAAAGCAAACATGAAGATGGAAAGTGTATAGGTGCTCACGTCTTAGACATAAAGCTGCATATTGACAGGTTGGGAATGTTGGGTGTCATGTTCCCAAGGAAGATGGCTGTTGACTTGGTTCTTCATTCACTTCCTAAGTCATATAGTGAGTATGTTAAAGACTACTATGTGACAAACGACGACGTGACCCTTATCGATCTTACTTATTTGCTTATTGTTGTTGAATCAACAATGATTTGGCGCACTGGTAAAGCAAACTTGATTGGAAGATCTACTTCCCAAACTTCCATTGACGTTGACAATGGCGACATTGGAAGTCCATAAAAGCTTTCTCTTCCCAATGGAAAGGGATTGGCCAAGGTCAAACCATTTGACCAAATGGTAAAGAGAAAGGCTAAGTCTGTGATTCTCCCATGTACCATTCCAAAAGAGTATGTTGCCAATAGAAGGGGCATTGGATGCGAAGCTGCCGTACCTACCTGAAAGATCACAAGGATAGTTCTATTTCAGGTAAGTTCACTATCTAACTCTATTAGGTTCCTACTTATAGATTCTTAAAAAATGATGTGATAAGATTGCATTTTGATGTTTTGTAAGATCAAAGAAGAGAAAGGAATCTTGAAAGAAGAGTAAGCTAATTCTGATCGTGAAGAGATGGATTTCGATCGCATGGTTCGATGATCAGATTTTTTGAGCTGCTACTTAGGAGTTATGATAGATTGCTTAGAAATAGATAGCACCATAGTTTTCATTTGTATTTGCATTGTAAGGACAAGTTTTTAGGCATATTTTATAAATAAAGAAAAAATTTGGATTTTGTCTTGTTTTATATTTCCTTGCAATGGCATTTCTGAAAATTGTTGTTTATATGTTTCTATTAATAGCACTATTGAAAATGGTTTGATTCTTAGTTATATCATTTGTAGTAGTGTCGTAATTTTGAAAATAAGGAAAGATTCTCATTGCCCGAGTTTCAATTGGACAGAAACTTGGAATCATATGATTTGAATCATGTGATGTATGAAAATCTTGGTACTTCGGAAATTGAGACTAATTCCTTGTTTACATGTATATGTAAGTCAAGTGAAAGATGAAAGGATCTAGTACACAATGATGTGCACTGGTCAGATCCACCACAAAGAATGATAAAGACTATTCGTCATGATTTACTAAAGGTTTAGTAAATATGGTTATACTTACAAGACTAAGTGTAATTCTGATTCATTGGAAAATCTTTAATGAATAGCAGAGCGAATAGGAAGAATCAATTAGGCAGAAAGATAGAAGTTTCTTTAATCTGAAAGGAAATGAGAACACTTTAGTATCATGTTTTATGATCATCCTTATGATTATGTAACCTTGTCACAATTGATCCTCTAAGCACACCTTAGTGCATTTATATGACTAAGGAGAGGTATCGGGAATTGTTAAAATGGTTAAAATCAAAAGGATGAGTCATACTTCGTTCCAAAATCGAGTCTTAGAGTTATACTCCAAGATTATGTCTTGAGTGACATATCCTAAGTATGTTTATAACACATCATGAAATGTGGAGTAGAAAAGTTTTCTTACTCATGCACATTTGGAATTGGTAGTTGTGATGTTTTGGCTAAAACAAAGATCAACTAAGACCAATTAAATGAAGTGTTTTTTCTTGATAAGAACCCGTACTAACTCTTGAATATTTGTTTGTTAAGAAATGTTTCTTGACAAGAGAATCTTATATGTCAAGAGGTTAGTGGGAGTCTTAATGATCTTGAATAGTTTCAAGTACTAATCAAGAATAAACTTTTAGTTATCACTAGCACACGACTTGAGGTTAATAACTTATCGTGTTGACATATTCTTGTTTCTGTGCCCATTCCAGTTAAAGTCGACTATGCATGTGAGTTCTATGAGTTCTCATCTGTTTGCATAAGGCAAAGCATCTTGATCAGGGAAAGTTCATTGATCAGTAAGGGTGAGTTGCTGAATAACCTGGAAGCAATGGTAGTCTCTTCGGCTACTAAATGGCAAGAAATTGAGATTGAACAAGTTCAGTCCATATGAGTTTGAATTTGTCATAGACATTGTCTTATGATAATGGTTGGAAATGACAGATTCACATGGATAGGAACACATACACCATTAAATCTAAGTGGTAAGGTTTCTCTCCAATTCATGAAAATGATTGTGAGGAAACACTTTCACTATGTAGATTTTAAGAGTTAGCAATTGTGATATTTGCATTCTCAAATTCGATTATGATTACGACATCCCTCTTCATAGTTCGAATTGTGAAAAATGGCAAATAGTTTGAACATTCGGGACTTACTGCCGTAAGTTCTGAAATAGTTTACACACACATATGATATTTCTAATAAAAAGTGTATGCGCTTAGGTAAAGGCTTATTGAAGCATCTCCTATCAGAAATATGACCTTTGGTAAGAAAGTCAATAAGTATTGATTTCTAGAAGTCCAGCTGATTTATGGATATATGTGAAAGGTAGTGGGAGCATAAGGGTTATGCTAGTAAGAAGGTAATTGTTATGCTAGTGGGAGCATAATTATTATGGTAAGTGTTGTGAGCTAGCAATGCTAATTATAGGAAACAAAGTTCTAATTTGCAAAATTGCAAAGTTTGAAAAATTATTTCACTATAGTAAGGGAGAGGATACTTAAACTTTATTTCAAATCTAAAAGCTTAGATTTAAGTATTAATCAAACTTAGTCATGAACATATATGAATGTTATGATGAAATGATTCAACATAAGGAAATTCTATATATGGAAATGTTATAGCAAGAGACTTGTAAAGTATCATGTCTTTATGTAAGACATTATGAATCGTGTCCCATATGCATCCGGTATAGGATCGATTGCATATGCTATAATATTGGTCTGTTCTGAAATTTTCAAATGCCTAGGGCATTAAGAAGGAAAATGGTCCAGAACCGTATATGACCAAAGTTGTTAAAAAACTGTTAAGGACAATCCAAGGTTCGCCAAAGATTGGTTGCTTATGGACAGTTGGAAGTATAGTAATGGTTGGACCATATTGACATGATTATGAATAGATAGGATTGTCACATGGCAAATATGGAAATGTTTCCAAAATCGGAGTTGGATATTATGAATCTATGTGTATCTTAGAAACCTTTATGCAAGAAGGATGTTCAAAGGAATGTACTTTGAATTTGAGACTTCGCTTCCTTGGAATTGTTTTTGTTATCAATCTCTAGTGGAAAGTTTTGTAATACCGTTGGCAAAGTCTCTGTGATTTTGGTACCTCGACATTACAAAAGATACATTGCATGATAGTTTAGAATCTAACACATTCTTATAGAGGCAAGAATTAGGTATTCTTACACTAAGTAATAAGGATTTGGAATTGTGAAATGAGCATCATTGAAATGTTTTCAATTGATCTATTTCACAAAGTCGGGACCATATATAAACATAGTGTGCATGCTTGGAGCATGGGATAACTATTGTTTTAATTCAAGTATTAGGTTTATTAATCGAAACATTATACAATGAATAATGTGTAATCAATGTGGTGATTAAATAATAAGTGTTTTAATTGTATTCAAAAGTTTTCAAACCATATTGGATTCGATTATTCTTGTCTTTCACTTTGCATGTTTTACTTCCCGGATAACTAGGTTATTCAAACATCCACAGTCAATCATACTTTGGAGGTAAGTAATGAGGTAAGACTGTCATGGATCCGAGTGTAGATTGTCTAAGGTTTTAGACATAGCACAAGTTTGTTGCAGTGTTCATGAGTACTCCTGTAATAAAATTTGAGTATTGGATCAAACCCATGCTCATTTGAATCGCTTCATGGATTTTATCACGAGTGATCATGAGACAATAATATCTTATATTCTTCAAATGGAGACATGTAGTTGTAGTTTACAAGTCGGTTGCACATTGATGATACGTAAACACGCCAGTAACTTGGTGTTATAAAACGTATTGTTGTGTATGATTTGATGAGTAAATAGAGTAATCATATGAGTCGAAGTTTATCCGTTCCTTTTTCCCAAAGTGGGATAAAATCGATATATGTGGGTCCCTCGATTATTTAGTGATGACACCATAAGCGCTTGGCCAAGTCCGGACTGATTTGATTTGTTCAATTAGTCAGTCGTTATAAATCGGAAATCGGGAAACAACACATGAACAGAGAGAATGATTATTATTCATGTCTCAGTTCATACAATATCTTGTAGAACGGAGGAATATATGATCCCTTATCTAATGGACACGTCAGAGTTCGACAGCGGCTTTTGAGAGATTGTTGGTCGGTTTTTCAAGTCGTACTTGCAGTTATAGTTATTAGACTTATCCAAGTGGGAGACTGTTGGATTAGGTGTCTAAGCCCACCACTATAATTGGTATGTACTTGACTCAAGAGCAGCATGGCCCATTTCAGATTGCCTTCATCAGAACAATTTGATAGGATTGATATTTGAGAAAGAGGTTATTTGTGATTTATTAATATATTATAAGAATAATATATTAATTGTGAAATAATATTTTTTAATTAGTATTGATCAAGAATTAATTTGGAATTAATTTAGTGATCAAAAGAGACTAATTAAATTTACAGGGACTGATTATGTAAATTAGTGATATTTATAGTTTGGGCTAATGATCCATGTTGATTAGGAATGTACTAAATCTTTGTGAGAGTCCATGAAGAGTTAGTCCCTAAGGCTAATAAGTTATTGGATTAAAATCCCAAGTGAATTAGGGTTTACAAGTTGAAACCCTAGGAATTCCAAACCATAATTAAAGCCCCTAGCTTGCTAAAATCGGCACTAAGACTCCTAAGGTTAAACCCTAGCCGAATTTGAGCTTTCTAACCTCTCTCTCATCATCCTCCACTTGTTCATGGTGTTTGTGACTTGTTTGAGGCATCAAACTTGAGTTTCTAAGCTCTTAAAGGCCAAGTTCTACAAGCTACAACAAAGAGGTAATCTTCCAACTAGTTTTTATGTTGTATATCGTCATTTTTATGCTAGTTATAGGTTTTATGCTTTGGATGATTTTGTTGCATGTATAATTAGAGAAAACTTAGATCCAAGGCATTAGGGTTGTATGTGCACCATAGGATGTTATAGAACATAGAACCCAACATTTGCTTCATCTTTATTTGCTGGAGTACAATCTTCCTGAGGAGGATTCGGTGGAAAAGAAAAGAACTTTTCTTCTTGAGGATCATCATTTTCTTGAGACTCTTTTTGAGTTGAAGGAGAGTAATCATCAAGATCAATGTTGAATGTCATAGTATATGTTTTGGAGTATAGGACAATTGACATGTCATTTGGTTCATTATCAACTATCAGTCCTTCACTGGAAGGTATGTCTACCGTCTGGATAGGAGTATCATCATCTTGATTGTGTTGTACTGGAGTGCTTTGAGTGAGATCTTCAAGTTCAGATTGCTTTTCACCTTCTTGGTCATTGTCATCAATTGAGTCATAACAAACCAAGGAGACACGATTTCTTGGACCTTCTAGATCCGACTGAAAGCATGCTAGTTAAATTGGAGCAGATTTATGAGGAGACGTGGGCTCATCTAAATATGCTCATAGATTATCTTCAGATACGTTTGGAGATTGAATAAAAGGAGGTTGATCTGACTTTCATTGCTTTTTTTTTCTTTGCCAACTTCTTGGATGCATGATCTGAGTGCTTCCTTTTCTTTTTAGGAGACGAAGTAATTCCCTTGATGTATTTTTGATATGAGCGCAGAGAGGCACTGTTTTCACCCAGCTTTGCTAGGATAACATCTGGAATGATGATTGGATGTATAAACTCATATTCAGATGTAGTACGAATCTGATATGGTGACATATGCAAGAATAGTGGCAGTGGGCCTTCTGGAATCTCCTATGGTGGAAGATTACTATTACTTATGACATCATGAATAATGATGGATCACCAGCGAGGATGCTGAATTACGAACTTATTCTTTGAGGCAGGGAGAAAGGTGAGAAGGTCTTCCGAAAGAATAGACATGTAGTCAACGTTGATATCATAATAAAGTCCATACATGACAATCCAAAGATTTGTTGAACCAAGACTGCGTCCACCAACAGACCCGAAAAGACACTGAGTGAGGACGGAACTAAGAAAGTGCCATTGCATGGGGAGGCGAGCTTTATTATTTCTTGAGAGGTTTGGTTCAACTTTTTCTTCAAATTTGTAACCCATTTCCTTGAAAATTATCACCAGTTGAGCAGAAGAAGGTGTGACAAATGTGGAAGGTTCACGATAACCATTGTTTAGACCTAAACAAGTTGCAAACTCTTCTTTATTTAGTACCAAGGTAGTTTGTCCAAGGTCAAATTCAACATTAAGCTCTTTTGAACTTGCTCTTGGAGTTATGTTTGAAGATTGAAAGACTTCTGAAATAAGAGAGTCTAGAATTTGAGAGGTAGCCGTGAGTGCATATGCCAGTGGGCATTTTTGCAGATATTTAACTATAACACCGACTTCTTTAGGTTGTTCCTGAGTTTCAAGAAGTGTGATATAGTTGGATACATCCATATAGATTTGAGGTAATGATGTGTCTGCCACAGTGGAAGGTCCTGTTGCTTGAGATTTGGACGCCTTATGAGAAGATTTTGCTTGAGAAGTTTGTCCATCTTCTTTGGTATCCATATCTTGAGAGAATAAAAGAAGATAAAAAATTGGAATTAATTGTTAGTTAAAGAGAGATAGCTAGAGAATAGTAGCATATAACCTTAACTAAATCCCAAAAAAAGAAGGAGGGGGGGGGGGGTGGAGAAAAAAATGTAGGAATTTGCATTAACTAAACAAAGTTATGACTTGAGTAGTTTCGTTGATTCAACTATAGATAAAAAGAATCTGAAATTCAAATTCACTAAGTATAGGCCTGAAAGTGAATGAAATAACAAGTAAGAATAAAGAGAAAGGACTTGATGTCATATAAAACAACAAAACAAATTTGATGTTACTAAATCATAGCGAAAGTGCAAGGATCAAGTAAAACTGCTAAGTCATGGCCTATGATGACTATGACATATCAAATAATGATGTCTTTAGATACCAACAGAAAATTAGGTATCATACAGACAGTAAGTGACTACTATATATGTAAATCCAAGAACACATAGAAGAGTGAATGGATTTAGATAGATTTGGAGAGAAAAAAAATTGATCTTAAAAGAACATGTATAAGGCATGAGAATTAAGATCACAAAAGAGATAAGAGAAGAGACATTACCTTAAGGAAGAAGAGTGAAGGTAATAGACTTGTGAGAACAAGAAGCAACATGTGCACTAAGTGAAAATTCCCAAAAACTATGGAGTGCACAAATAAATATGATGCTCACAAGATAGAGATGATCAAAAATCCAACAAAAGTAGCCTAAGCAAGGTATGTGAAAGTGAATTAATAATCAACAAAAAAATGAATAATAAAAAAACCGTGATGCTCACCCAATATGATTGCAACAAGAAGTGGTGTTCACAAAGAAAAGTGATAGGCCAATACTAGGGAAACTTGAACATATGAATATATGTATATAATAATTAACACACTAATCATCAACAAAGGAAATACAATATTATCTCATGGGGTTACGTGAAAAAGCAAGAGAGATATGACATACCAGTTGATGTCTTGTTGTATCAGTGAGAAACACAAAGATAAAGAAACACTTTGACAATAACACTTGAGATATTTAAATCTATGTTATTTCAAGATAAGCAAAAAAAAATTAGAAAGTGTACACCATGATCATCATTGAGTGTAAAGAAAGAGAATGAATACTTACCTAGAGTGATCAAGGAATGTGACACTTAACACAAAGTGATGATGGACCACATGATGACAATCATTGTGCACAGGATGATCCAACAATCAATGTTAACTTGACTATGATGTACAAAAAAAATGGAATGTACATGCAACACATGATGATGCTCAATAAACTGACTTTTGAAAACTAGGGTTTCAAAAAAGCATTGTGATGCTTACCTAGACTTTGGAGATGATCCAAAAAAGAAACTAAGTTAGAATTATGACTCTCCAACAGAGAGTTGATGATGCTCCAAAAATATTTGGGTTTGAAAAAAAATTCGATTACTAGGGTTTTGTTAAAAAAGATTAAAAAAAGATGATCACCTACGGTTTTGTTGAATGGCGTAATTAGGGTATTCTCGATTTTTTTTGTTTTGCTTGATGATCACGATAGAAGAAGAGTTGGCGCAAGTAGGGTTGGATCAAGATGATGTTGCTCCAAAGGTATGAATGATGAAGAAGGTGTGCCAAGGGTATGTTGCAAAGAAAAATTGATGTTGTCTGTGGATCAGAATGGACGCGATCAAATGCGCAAGTGGTAGTGGAAGTTGCTTACGATGGGAGGCTTTTATAGATGACAGCTAGGTTTACGAGGCTTGAGTGTGGAGCAAGATAAGGATTTATGGGGCAAGAAGGGATGGAGCAAGATGGTATGGCGCAAAAGGGACTGTTGCACAGGAAGGATCTTAGGGTGTCTAAGTTACGCCAAGAGGTGATGATCACGTGGTTATGAGTTGCTAAAAAACAAATGTTGGTTAATATGGGTTTAAGACGCACGACATTGTCTTAATAGGTGTCGATAGGGTTTGGATTATGAAGGAGTGTTGCACCAGTATAAGAAATCTTGAGTGTGGCGCAAGATTTGAATGTGGCGCAAGAAGGTTTTTTGGAGTATGACGCAAGAGAAGGTTATCGGTTAGGATGTTGTGCCAATAAAAGGAAGGTGCGCTAAGGGTTTTAGATTAAGATAGTGTTGTGCCAAAGAATTAGTTAAGTCTGGTGAAAGAAGAATTTGTGGCGCAAAATAGGGACTTTGTGTGTGGCACAAGTGGGCAATGGCGCAAGAGAGGTTGGCGCAAGTTGTATTTTGGTACAAGAAGGATCATGCGAGGGGAAGTTTTTAGGCGAAGGCTTGCGAGGAGATAGAGTTGGGCCAAGACCGAAGATGTTTCGTGCGAAAGGGAAGGATTTGGGCTAAGAGGCCAAAGATGCACACCGAGACCGAAGTTGCACCAAGAGTAGTTGTTGCGCCAAGTAGGTGTTGCACCAAGAGGTTATGCGAGATATGACAAGTGACTCTGCGAGGATGGGTGTTGCACCAAGATATTTTTGCGAGGGGGAAGTTTTTGTGCCAAGAAGAGTTGCTCACGAAGCGATGTTGCTCCAAGGCTAAATTTTGGATGGAAGTTGCTCCAAATGGGTGTGAGAGTAAGAATTTGTGAGAAAGTGAGAAAGCTAGAATGAAAAATAGAAGTGGAGTATTTATAGGTGAAGGTTTCTATGGTTTGTCAATGGTCCAAAGTAGGGCTTACATCGGCTAGCTTGTGAGCCCAGAAGACTTGGATGAAACTCAGGTATAAATAGGAGAATGTCAACTTGAGTTATGAGCGAGGGAATGATGACGTGCGAACCAAGAAAGAAAATGGTGGCACATGAATGCATGTTATCTTAGAGACGTGCATGGTACCTAAGGAATGTGCATGGACTACTTGGAATGTGCATGGCTGATTAAAAACGTGCTTGGCACATTTGAAACATACATCACCTATTAAAAACTTGCATGACACATTTATGGTGTTCTGCGAGGCCATGATGATTCAAGTTCTTGAACATGTTCCAAGTTGTTGAACATGCTCTAAGTTAGTGAAGATGCTCCAAGATAGTCCAAGTGACTTCCAGTTGATCTAAGGTAGTATGGATGGTCCATGATGGTCTAAGAGATCAAGCAGGTGAAGATGGTCCAAGATGATCTAAGATGAATGAAGATGCTTTAATCATACGTCCAATTGGTCCAAGGAAGTGGAAATGGTCCACGATGATCCAAGTGCATGAAGTTGCACCAAGTTGGTCCAAGTTGAATGAAGATGGTCTAAGATGGTCCTAGATGGTCCTAGATGGTCCAAGATGACCTGAGATGAATGCAGATGCTTCAATCATTCGTCCATTTGGTCCAAGGAACGGGAGATAGTCCAAGATGATCAAAGTGCATGCAGTTGCTCCAAGTTGGTTCAAGTTGAATGAAGATGGTCCAAGATCCTTCAAGTTTGTGAAGTTGCTCCAAGGTACTTCTAGTTCGTCTAAGTTAATGAAGTTGCTCCAAGAGAATCTAAGATGCTCCAAGTTGAATGCAGTTGCACCAAATTTGGTCCATGTACCTAAAATTTCTCCATGAACCAAGACAAGCACATATGGTTTTCTTGAAGAGGATGGTGCACTTGTCATAAGATGCTCCACTTGTCTAATGATGATCCATGATCAAGTAAGTGATATTTTCTATCTAACATAGCTGCTTTACCTAGATTCTAAGGCATGAGTTAAACAGAAAGTATGAAAATGCAAACACTAAATAATCTAACTTTTATGGTGATGTGTGTGCATGTGGATAGAGAATCTGAGAAGGAAATGGTAAAATGCGCTGAAGTGTGTGTATGTGGAAGAAATAATCAAAAAGAAAACTTAAAACTTAAAAAGATGAAAAATTTAGAAGCAATATGGATTATTTTGCTATTGCTTACAGATTTATCAAACAACTAATTTCTATGTATGATCCTTCCCATCGCATTGTATAAAATTTCCTTCGTTGATTATTAATTTTGACCTCATTAACATCACACAGAATAAACCATTTTGAACTCACCCATTATGTCTCACCGCAATGAGTATATTTGTTTGTAAGGCCTGTTTACTTCCCAAACCCTAAATACTGACAATCCTCATAAACATTCCCTACTTATTTTGAGCAACATTCATTTTTGGCATTCCTACCACCTATACCCTTTTATTTACCCCTTTCATTTCAAAAGGTATCGCCCAATTCCAAGTGACACTACTTTAAAAGAAAAATAGTATATATAATAATTGACCTAAGAACATAACTACACTTAATTATATTTTTGTAGAACTCTTTTTTTTTTATCTTTTCATATAACTCTAACTTTGACAAAGTAAACAAACAAATAATTTCTAGCTTTATTTTTATTTGTACTTTAGTTAGCAGCTTTCTAAGAAATTAATTGGAGTCCTCGGAATTCTAAGGCTACTAATGGAGCCCATGACTATCTATGAAAACCCATGTAGCGGAATTCTTCCCGGTCCGATCCGTGTTAATGTACTGCAGATGGACAAATTTTCAATATCCCGAGGGGTTTACCGACCGAGTTCTCACAGGTCACAGACTGACTCTACTCCTAAACTATAACTTATTTAATATATAACTAAACTAAAAGTGCATAAATTAAACAGATAAACTTGGAACTTGACTTGCTTTGTTTTAACGGATAGGATTTTTATTAGGTATAGATATTCAAAAAGCAAAAATTTTTATGTCCCTCAAACTACACTAGTTCGTGTTTTTGTCTCATAACACTAGGACTGGGAAGCCACAAATATACTATAGCGCATTGGCTTAACCAAACCTTAGAGTTCGCTTCACATTATCCCACATAATATTGGTACCTGATGTATGTTATAACTCTATGTAGAGTATAACAATGAAGCTTGTTAATGGTCACTAAAGTACCAATATTAGTTGTGTATTAAAGCAAACTGAAAAACCATAAAATTCAGTATTTTAAGAATTCATTAAAGCGTGGAGCAGCTATCCTTCTTCATTTGC